GAAAAAAGAATAGGAAAAGACGAACAAAGCGGAGCATCATTGTGCCACCAATCAAGCCTAAAACGAATAGACTTGCCATCATGGACGACAAACTTGACGTGAGCACAAAATTCATCAACACTTTAGCCAAATCACGCCAACACAGAGAGCCTCCAACAGCAGAGGCAAGCATAGGGCTAGAAGAGGGAAAATATTTAGCTTTAAGAATACCAAACCACAACACCCTAGGGGAAGAGTTAAGAATCCTCTACCACCATTTTATGACCAGATATCAAAAACATGGGGCAGGAAGAAAGACCAGCATTAATGAGACAAACCTTACGAGCAGATGAATTATATCTGCTACGTCGGGGCATGACCCTATTGCCAACCTTTAACATAATAGCAGCAAAATCTCTACAACGCAGCATGAGAGAGAACATCAGAATCCCTAAGTATTTAAAAGCGAACGATCCAAGCTGACAATTCAGGAGATTGGCAACCCGCTCTGCCTCAACGGTCGAGCTACCAGAAATGAGGACTTCGCTTTTAGACAAATTAGTTTTAAGACCGGATAAGGCTTCTAAGCAAAGGAGTAGGAACTTCAAATTGACGATACACAAACCATCGTTTTTGACAAGGATGATCGTATCATCTGCATATTGGAGGTGAGAAAGGACAGATGATATATGATTAGAGCTGACGGGAGTGATATGACCATCCACGATAGCGCGAATCCAAATACAGGAGAGAGAATCGACAATGAAATTTTAACAAAAGAGGAGAGATCGGATTTTCTTGCCTGGGATCTCTTCCATTGGAGAAGAAAGGACCCACCACCCCATTGACAGACACCGCAATATATATGCCACAAACTAACTGCATGATACGATGCACGTACCCACCATCAAAACCTTCGGCCAAAAGCACATTGCAAAGAAAGAACCACCAAACACAATCATAAGCTTTCTCGAAGTCAAGTTTAAGAATAACAGCTTCGCTCTTTCCTAGAATGAATATCATGAATAAATTTCATGTAACAACTACCGCCCAACTACAATCCGTAGAATCCACAAAAACTTGGCAATGTATTGCCAATTCAGACAAGTTATAATGAACTAATTACAAGTTTTGATGAGTTTCGTGGGACGAAACGGGATGCGGCTTGCATCTTAGGGCGTGTTTGCTTGTCGTGCGCTACAGTACCCGCATTACATACACTTCTCCAGCCAACCTAGCTATGCAAATGCAGCCTCAAATGCACCATCTGCATGTTGTGTGGTTGCCTGCATGCCCTCTTGCCTGCATGGGCAGAACCACACTGCCTGGTGTATGGTTCCCCGCATGTTAGTGGACAAACCCAAGGCATGGTGTTTGCTTGTATGCAACATGTGGTGTGTGGTAACCTCTTTGGCTAGTTGGTGAGGTTACCAGCACACTTCGGCACAACCAGTAGCACACATCATAAGCAGAGCAGACTATAAACAGAGGATCAACTACTTAAGAACATATTTCAGATAAGCAGTACCACACTTCATAACAGTTCTACGCATAAACCATAAACATAAACAGTTCAAAGCAGACTCGATAGTACTTAGGGAGGCCCCGGCCTACTCCTTGGCGGCGAAGGCTTCGTTGTGCTTCCCGCACTTGTTGACGACCTCAATGCCATCGTCGTCGAAGATGATGACCTTGAGGGTGTCGGGAGTGAGGAGCTTGAACGTCACCATGTAGCCGATCTTGATCTGATGAACGGCTGTGTAGGTGGCCCAACCCTAATTCAGGGTTACCATGCCGTTCATCAGCTTCACTGTAACCTTCCAGGAGCAGCCGGTGTTGTTCCTGAGCTTGAACTCCGTTGGCACTGTGACGAAGTGCTTGGTGAAGTCCAGGGGCATGGGGATGCACTCAAGCTTCGGTGTAAGGATGACCTTGCAGAAGTGAGTCGGGCCATCCTCTTGATGGTAGTGGCCGTAGTTGTGGCGCTTGTTGCTGGGGGGCTCCTCCATGCCCTCGTCGCCACCCTCAGGCGTCTTCGGGTCTTCCTCGGCGGTGGGCGGCAGCACAACCTCGTCGAGCATTGGATGAAGGGGATGCTTGCCCTTGTTGTCAACCTCCGTGCCCATCTCATTGCTCTCCTCGATCTGCACACAATTCATGGAGTCAAGCACATCACAAAGTTCATGGCTAATTGAAGAGCATGTAGTTAAAACGGCATGACTGTCACTCTTCTCCTCCTCTCCATCCCCCCTATATTTACTCACCCTGCCCACCACTACTTACCCACCTCCTCTCTTCTCTCACTGTCAACCTTCCTCCTCCCCATCGCCATGAGCTCTAGCTCCAGCTCCAACGCCAACCCCTTCCCTTGGGGTATTGGCTGGAGGGCCTTCTTCCTCTGGTGATCGGCTTGTGACCGCACCAAGTTCGAGAACACCATGGAGGTGTGCTCGAACTTCGGCTCCATGCATGACATGCGGAACGAATCTAATGCAGTGCTCATGAAGGCCAGTAAAGAAGAGCTGAAGACGATGATTCCTGACCCAGCGAAGGGCGCGATGGCAGTTGACATCATTCGCTGGGCCATGAATCAGGTCGTCTACGACGACGCTAAACAGAGGAAGAAGTGGTGCAAGTACAAGACCTACTGGGCTCCTAATGACCGTCGTGCCGCAGTGTACTGGGAGACGGCTATCGCGCCGCCGACGGTCATCAGTGGGGAGCCTAAGGAGGAGGAAGAAGAAGCGGTGCAGATGCCAGCGAGGGAGCCGGAGCCAGGCCGTCGTACCTGGCAGATCGACCTCGACTCCGCCAAGGACGACGACGACCCGCCAGCCCGCACGACGATGAAAAAGAAGATGAAGGCCAGCGGCTCGACCAGCCGCTCCGCACGCCGATGACGGCCGCCGCGGTCAGCCGATGTCCCTTGTGTACCCCCTATCCCCCAATCCCCCTTCTGCATTTCGATCTTGCATCTATGAACTCGCATGAACTGCTATGAACTAGTATGAACTACCCCCTATGGTTATCTACCTCTATTCCCCATTCCCCTCCGCCGTGGATCGAATCTATCGTCGTGGATCGAATCTAGCGTGCATGTCGAAGAGAGAGAAGCGCTTACCGCAATTGCCGTGGGCCAACTGTTGATCCGCTCGCCGGCGATGGAGTCTGGTGGTCTTCTTCCTCTGCTCCGATCCGCCGCCGCCGGTGAGAGTTGGGAGAGTGGGGAGAGGGAGCGATGAGGGGCGGTGAGGCTAATAACTGCCGGTGTCTCGGGAAGCAACGCGGCTTCTCGAGCGTGGCCGCGCGCGTGCAGCCGCCGCCGCCCACGTGCACCGCTCAGGCCTGGCCCTGGAGAAACTGCAGATTAGTGCATTCCCAGCGAGCCAGGCCCAGAGGTACTTTAAGTTTCGTGTTGTGCAGGTTCAATAGTAAAACCAGACGTCCAAACAATCCGTTCTCTTTCCGCGCGGACCTGGTTAGTCCTTATGCAGACAAGCAAACGCGTCCTTACGATCGGTCCTGTGTATTGGAGGTCGAAGGAGGAGGAGAGGAGGACCGCAGGTGATGAGTGGATCAGACACGTCGTACACTCACATGCGCAGTTCCAAGCAGAAGCCAAAGAGGTGCATGGCCTCAATTCCAAATCGAGGCCGACAGGTTCAGGCCTCTGAAAACGTAGGAGCACTGTAATCAAAGGCCGTCATGTCTGGAGAAAAACAGAAGGAGGCCAATGATACTAGTACAGTACTAGTACTACAACTAATACGGGTCCCATCCCATGTGATGTCCCGAAATACTCCGAGCAACCAGCATGCGTCGCGAGGTGCGACGTGAAACTCCCCAAAGCCACCGTCTATTTCCCCGAGCAGCAAGCTCAGCCGTGTCTGGACTGTGGTCAGTGTCCATTTTCACTTGGCAGGTACGTGCGCGTGCGACCCAGTCCACGCCCACCTGCTCTGTCACGATAAAGCGGGGCATACGATTGTCCAGGATATTTTGTAACCAGCTGAAATTGGCGTCATGGCGACCGTCGTTGTCGTCCTCAACTGAAAACCTCAAATTCCACAGACAGAGGGCCACGCGCACTCTCCAACTTGCGCAAGTCCGCATCAACCCACTTTAAGGCCAGCTCAGGTTTTGAGAAAGAACCGCAGCCCCTCACCGTGAGGTTTCTTTCAGCACACGCGACGCGTCCACTTCACAACCTCTCAAAAAATAGTAGCAACTCCAAACCCCCCGAAACGAACGGAAGCAAAGCCCAGCAGCCCACAACGCTCGATCGCGCGCGCGCCGTCGAGACCCAAAGTGGCCCATGGCAGCGCGTCGCGGGCGTCACCATCGCCTTCCGTGCAGCCTACAGCTGGTTTGACAACCAACTGAAGCGTCCCACCTAACCAAAAACACCGCGAGAGCCTACTCCCGGTCCATCCATTTTTTTTTCAAAAAAGGAGGATGGCCCCTGCCTCTACATCTAGAAAATGCATACGGTTACTTTATTGATTATTGTTGAGGACCTTATAAAATATTACAAACAATATACCTGAATCCACCATCTTGACAACATATACCGCTATTCTTATACAAATGATGAAGGGATGCTAGCTGGGTCACTACCCAAACCACTCACCTAAGCTTAACATCAAAAGCCGGAAGCCTCAGCTAAGCCACATACCGTGTCTGGGGCATAATCTGGTCAGACGCACTCGCGTATCGTCGCCGCCATCTTCCACAAATTCGTTTTCAGATTATATTGAAACTTCTATCTTGCCTGACCACTCTACCATTGATGTCACCATCCCCTCCCGCACATGGCACATCGAACTTCACTTCACTCCGGCTGGCTCCTCGTGTCACCCCGCGTTTGCAGCAGCGCTCCGCACGCGCTCCCTCCCATCCCATCCATCCATCCATCCATCACATGCTTAGCTATATATAAAGCGCCGCCGGATCTTTCCCTCCCAAACCCAAACTCAAACCAAGCCAGGCACACAAGTCCACCTCGAACGGACTGATCACTGATGGAGTGGGCGTACAGCGGCGGCGGCCACTCGTCGTCGGGAACGAAATCTCCGGCGGCCGGCGGCCGGGAGGAGGGCTCGTACATGACGGTGTCGTCGGCGCCGCCCAAGCGGCGGGCGGGGAGGACCAAGGTCAGGGAGACGAGGCACCCGGTGTACAAGGGGGTGCGCAGCAGGAACCCCGGCCGGTGGGTCTGCGAGGTGCGCGAGCCGCACGGGAAGCAGCGGCTGTGGCTCGGCACCTTCGACACCGCCGAGATGGCGGCGCGCGCGCACGACGTCGCCGCCCTCGCGCTCCGCGGCCGCGCCGCGTGCCTCAACTTCGCGGACTCGCCGCGCACGCTCCGGGTGCCGCCGCAGGGGGCCGGCCACGAGGAGATACGCCGCGCCGCGGTCGAGGCGGCCGAGCTGTTCCGCCCGGAGCCTGGGCAGCGCAATGCAGCTACTACCGAGGCGCCGGCTGCTTCACCGGCAGACGCGGGGAACGCGGAGCTCGTTGCAAACTCTCCTTACCACCTCATGGATGGTTTAGAATTCGAAATGCAGGGCTATCTTGACATGGCGCACGGCATGCTGATCGAGCCACCGCCAATGGCGGGGCCGTCGACGTGGATCGAGGAGGACTACGACTGCGAGGTCAGCCTGTGGAACTACTGATGCCGCGCACCTGAGCCGGCTCGGGCCTGGCCTTCATGGCTCACTGTCACTGTACATACAGCTTAATATCGCCATCCAGGATGCCCTGTACTTGTGGTGTGTAATGTTTCCCTGCTATTCTGACGAAAATGTCATGGCAATGTGGGTCAACAAACAATTAGTGCCAGAGATAGCACTCGCACGGGCGATCTTGGCACGCTAAAATTCAAGCCTTTACTCGTCCGATTCATATATTTCCTGCTTTGAGATAACTTGGTCAGACTTACAGGCTCTTGCGCTGTCGCAGAAGTTTTTTTTTGAAAGATCTAGCAAATGCTGGCTTTTCATTGATTATAGCAGGAAGCAGCGCGAAAACAAAGGGGAAGTGAAGATCCGAGGATCAAGTGCGTAGGGATGGCCACATGCGGCCGAAAACCCTAGTACAGGATTTTTTTTTCTCAAGCTGGTTCCCCGAAGGGGCTCTCGATGCACGTTGCTCCTGTGATCCTCCAGAGCTCGATGCTGTCTCGGATGCGCCTGATGATTTCTCGCACGCTCGGAAGGCTGCGTCGAAAGGTGCAGTTGTTTCTTTCTTGCCAAATCTCCCAGCATGCCAGCAGCAGGATTGACCGCGCACCGTGTCGCCGTGATGGATCAGTGCGCGGCAAGATGTAGTGGATGATCATGCTGGAGTTTCCGTGGCTCCAGCAGTCCGCAGGGGAGAGGGTGGAGCAGCCGTGCCATTGCCCGATCGCGCTCCACACTTGCCTAGACTCCAGGCAGTTCCAGAACAGGTGGCTCGAGGACTCGAGGCTTCTGACGCAGAGTTGGCAGAAATAGCCGTTCGGCCAACCCCGCCTCTGCAATCTGTCATTGCACCAGAGCTTGTCCCGCAGCAGCAGCCATAAAAAGATTTTGATCTTCCCCGGTGCCCAGGCTTTCCAGATCAATTGATCGAAGTCGGTCGCCGTCCTGCTCTGAAACTGAGCCTGGTATGCAGACCTGGCCGAGTACGTCCCCGAACTCGAATGCTTCCAGGTGAGATCGTCCGGCACACCTTGCCGGAGGGGCGGCGCCGATCACTGCAGTTCGCGGTGCAAAGCCATGACGTCCTCGAGGAGGTGCTGGTTTTGTCCGTGGGCGAGATCGCGGATCCAGGTGTCGTTGCTGAGTGCGTCGTGGACTGATCTGTGCTTTCGTCGAGAGTGGATGAAGAGCATGGGGAAGCGTTGCGAGAGACTTCCATGTCCGAGCCACAGGGAGCGCCAGAAGGATGCCCTGATGCAGATTAACCAGCGGAAAAAGACAGGGGCAATGGAAAAACAGCGGAAAAAAGACTTGTTCCAACTTGAGAACCAAATTTCAGGAACAAAATTGGATGGTCTGATTGCTTGTCAAACGCAAGCATTTTTACTGAGTCTGTTTGAGTCTGATGGTGTGTCCGTCGGAAATGGAGGTTTTTGCCCAGTAGCAAGCACTAACTACGGAACCTTCCATTTTCATATTTTCAGTATACAGGCAGCATATACCAGCATCACGCTTAAATGTTACTCTTTCCGTCTGAAAATACTTGTTATTAAAATGAATAAAAGAGGATGTATCTAGATATATTTTAGTTCTAAATACATCTTTTTCTATCCATTTTGATGACAAATATTTTTGGACGGAGGAAGTACTATCTCTGTCTTATGATATACTTCCTCTGTAAATAAATATAAAAGTATTTAAATTATTACTTTAGTAATCAAAACACTCTTATATTTCTTTACGGACGGAGTAACATATTATTATGACCAAGACGTCGTATCTTGTGCATCCACGAACCAACCAATATATGTGTATATTTCTACTGTTAAAGGGAAATTTGCCGTCGTCGTGATGGTTCAACCAGGCCTCCCCTCGCATGTAAACTTCTCCCAGCATGCGAAAAAACCGGACCTCCTCGCTCCTCTCCACCCGTCGCACGAAGGAAGAAAAGAAAAGGCAAATAAAACAGCGCAGCGCACGTCCCACCTCCTACTCCCCTTCCCCCAAATCCCTCCCTCTCAATCCCGTTGCTCTCCCTAGAGGAATCACCGCCGCCGACCTCCTCACGCTTATGGCGACCTCGAGCGGTTCCACACTGCAGCCGAATTAGACTGGAACGGTGGATCCAAGCCCTTCCAATCTCATCTGTTCTTCACCGACTTGAGGAGGAGCTTGACGTGGGGAGGGAGCCGAGCAAGAGCGCCGCGCCCATGGCCGCGATGAATGAGGCCCAGGTTACGCTATCTCACCCTCCCTCCGACCCATCTTCTCCCCGTAGCCTGTACTGTCTGACCCCTACGTTTTCTCTCCCATGGCAGGGGCCGTCTGAGTGGCAGTGAAACAGCCGGCGGAAGATCAGTTTGTGGCAACGGACGGTGGGAGGCGGTGGGATCGTGGGAGGAGCAGGTGGACACATGTAATCGCCGGTGGAAATCTAGCAAGCGGCAGAAGAGCGCAGCGGGCGGTGCTGGCCTAATGCCCACAGGGAAAGAGAAGGCCATGGTTCCTGCGCGTGGTGCCGTGGTGGGGTCGCGCTGCTGCTGCTAGGACTGTGGTGCTTCCTTCCAAAGAGGTATGGCCCGTCCACTTCCTTGCATGCTTCCAGCCGTTGATGCATCTCAACCTGATGTCGCCCATGATGGTCTGCAGCCTCTTGCGGCTATCTCATAACAAAGAGCGTCAGCAGAACCGTCTGCCTTCAACGCGCACTTCAGGGCAGCCACGAGCAGGAACACCAGTCGTTACCACTATGCAGAAGCTATCGGCTATGTGAGATAGAAACTTGAGAATCCTTACACTTTTTTCTGATGGGTTTCATATTCATTGGTTGATATGATTTTTTAGGAACAGATAAATGGTGACGGTTCCGGACAATCTGGCCTGGGAACTTGTCAAGAGGAACATTTGTTTCCTAATGTAGCAGTTCAGCATGAGTACTGCCAAGGTTCTGTTCAGTCACGAAGCCTAACAAGTTTTACATTGTCCACTCTGACAAGCACTCTGGTTAGTAGTTGTTGCTATCTCTTGATCAGTTGAATTATGGATGTCTCGCCATTGGCAGATCTGTTTGGTGGTTGGTGTGTTTTTCAGTCCTGGTAAACAAGAAGACTGACGGCACATAGCTAACTACTGATAAGGAGATGGCATTGAGTGGATCCATGGTCCAATCGAATCCACGCTCCACGCTTGTCCTTCTTTCGTCTCTTGACAACCAAGACACGGAAGAAGGACAAGTCTATCACGTTCCACCAGAATACTGTCATGCACAAGGAGTTCTGCTAGATGGCCAAGGCTGTCAAGAACTAGGTATTAAACATTTTTCTGCCCCACTCTTCAGCCACTAAATCTTGATTCGTGAATGTTATAGTACAGTTCCAAAAGGCTGCTATATACTTTTGGTTGCATGCTTAACGTTATAGACATCTAAAACATGAGTCAATGGTTCTATATACTTGAAACTTTTAGCTACCTTTCAGGCGAATGTGATGAAAAACACTTAAACCTGTAGTTCTTTCTCATGACTAACTCGATGCAGTTTTCTACATATTGCGTTCTGGCTGCCCTACTCAATGCTAATAACGACTCAGTGAGGTTAAAAACTTCTCTGCCAACATCTGAATGTGTAGATATATGCCTAATTAAGTCGACGCTATTGCGACATCGACATGCTTCACTCCATCTAATACATCAAATGGAAGGTCAATATTGCCTCTCTTTGATTTGTTTCATCATGAATGGAGATATACATATTGTGCTAACTTTTATTGTCTGTTTTGCTTGAATAAGAATTGCATTGTTTGTTCATGTTTTTAACTCTAACAAGTGGTATGGTTGTAGACCGGCAGTAAACGGTACTCTCCCCGTCCCAAAGTAAGTGTCTCAACTTTAGTACAACTTACTACTAAAATTAGTACAAAGTTGAGACACTTAATTTGGGACGGATGGAGTAGTTTTTTATTTGGAGACCCAGGTGATGGATAGTCTGATCAGAAATGTGTACCACTGCAAAATTCCGAGGAAAGCAGTAAAATAGAAGATTTTTTATGCCACTGAAATCTGCAGTAATTTTTTGTTTTGCCGTGTTCTGGTATAAAGTACTAATGAAAGTAGTATAATACACAATTTCGTCTTCCATCCATTCTTCTTTG